ATATATATATATATATGCATATATATGCATATGTACATGCCTGTATGCTTTTGTATCATGTTTTGACTCACACAAATCACTCTCAGTTATATTGACCCATTTGAACACTGAGAAATTTATAAAGTGCTGTACAAGACTAACTTCAAAAGTTGCGTTATGAAGACAAGAGCCCCGATCATGAACATGGTTAGAGACGACACACTGCACATTCATTAGTTGAAAATGTTGATCTCAAGGCGATTCGAACTCATTTATTCTAAGTTTTTTTCTGCTCTAATGATGTGAAAGTGTTTGACGGAGCGGCGCAGCTATACGACCTTTTCAGGCTTTGCGGAAGGTCAAGCTGGCCCAAACTTTGGTCTGTGTTGAATGAAGCTTTTATTCAAGAAGCTACATCATCTCAAAGATCGAAAAAAGTCAACTTCAGTGACATCTCCGGATGCCGCACTCGGATGACCTCACGATCATTAAGTGGTGAGTAAATTTTGCGTTGAAAAATAAAGTGGATAAAAAAGGAATTAGTACGGTAATAAAAAGAGACATGAAAATAATTCTACTCATAAAAATTTATAGCAGAGGATGTAGGCATTAGTGTGACTCCTATCTGTCTCCTGATACGGTCACTTACATCTTTAGAGTTCAAATAGACATGAAAAACAATATAAAATAGGATTATACAGAAGAAGAGAATAACACTGACCGCGTCCGATCTTTCAAGATAAACTACTGACCAACTAACGGGCTCGAACTCCGTCTCAGCTCGTTTTGTGGATCCAGCAATTTTTCAGCTATGTGTATGTAGGAGAGATTGGGTTGGTACACTAACAATGTTAAAAAATCAACACATCACCTACTGAGATCTTGAGCAATATCTTCACTAATATAGTGGACGTGCTTAAAATCTAGTGAGAAGCGCAGTTCAAATCTTTGAAAGATATCAAGCCTTCGATATCCAAAAATTACACGGCGAAAATGAAGCACAGATGGACAGCTCATATATTAGGAATAACAGATGATCTGATAAATGAATAGCATTGTGGATCGGACTGCATGAGGATGTAAGTGTCCCTGGGATCATACACCATGTGCTTTCGTGTTTGGTGGCATCCGTAAATCAGTAAACCGTCTGCGTTCGCTGACGAAAACAGTCTCTGGATTACGGAACGTTTTGCGCTGATATCACTGCTCAAGGCTGATCACAGTCGTGGGCACTATTACACGAGAAAGACAATTCGTTGGGCTAAACGCTGCTCATCAGAAGCCATCATTGTACCACAAAAATAAGTCATCGCGTTGAAGATTTATTTGAAAGTGAACACACACAACCTATTATCAAAACATTAATTGGGCTGTATCTGCAACACAGTACCGACTTTTACACTTGATAGCAGTTTGTTTTAGGTAGCAATATTTACAGAATCACTGGGTGGTCGTCTTGAAAACAGGAACAAGAAGAAATTCAATTGACAGCAAGCAGTACAAGATGTGTTATTTTTGACCGATTTGATTAATAGGGATTTATGATGCAACGGAAACTAGTCATCTTATAGGAGCTCTCTTTTATCAATACTATTCAAATGTTACGAAATACATCTCGATTATCATGGTTAGGATGTTAAAGTTGGGGAAAAGTACGGCCAAGAAGAAAACGAAGAACGACCGAGTTTCTGGATATGAAGTCGAATAAATTTCTGTAGTTTTCTTTACTCGAAAGGTTGCAAGCGTAGGAGGTATAAATGTACAAACAATGGTTGAAGGTTACATCTTTACTTCGAGTGTTTTATTGAGACCACGCTGAAATTTCAATAGATCCTTTCATTACTATTTGATTCAACATGTCATGTGGTCTGACAACGGCTCTTGTACAGCCGGAACATGATGCCAGCCAAAGAGCAAACGAGTGTATAAAACTCTGTGCTAGGTGAAAATTTCACTTGATATAGAGTGTAAAACGTTCGTCTTCAATGTCTTCCTGAAGGGAGAGCAGGGTCCCGGGAGAACTGACTAAAAAAGATTGAAAGCCAACGGTTTCTGCCCGAATGACGAGTCTATAAGGACGAAACACGTGTATCTGGCTGTACAGGAGTCCTTGTCAGACCACATGACATGTTGGACATTTAATAATGAAAGATTGGTTGAAGGTCCATACGCTGATAAATTTTATAGGAAGTGCGCAGTTTTCTATGAAGTAGGTGGAAATCAATGTTCATATAACAAACGCTTTTTTCAATGATAAAAATGGAGCGAAATTCAATAAATGGAATCTTAAGCCGTCGCAAATTATGATTTCATCTAAACACAGGGTGACTGTATAGGGCAACTAGAACTGTTTTCATTGACCGGTTTCAGCGGTGGCATGATGTTACAAATATATATCGAAAATTGTTGACTTGCGAAAGTCTGAACATCGGACGAGATGCGAACCCGTCATCTCACCCTTTTGGGACGCGTGCCTACCAATGTTGCGTGTTCCAGTCCGACCTTCAAAGTTTTGCATATCACTCAACAATATTGACAGAACGAGGTTCCTGGTGCGATTCATAATCGCCTAAATTGATGAGGGCACGACCGACCTATCCGATGCTTTCACTATAGTGTTATGGAATTCAACGTTTTCCATCTTCCAAGAGGCATCTTTTCCTAGGAGATCATTCAACGCTGTGGTTAGAAGTGCTCTGCAATTCGCACATGGTCGTTGATTCGATCCAGCGCGATGGACTCTTCAATTTTTCCATATTTTCGGCGTCGACAATTGCCACCGGACTTCTCTAGCAAGACTGCGGCACTAATTGATCTATCTCACTATTGGCCGTCTCTAGGGCATTGCAAAGATGTAAAATGCATGCAATCACTTGTCACGATTGCGTGATGAGCTCGAATGCATTTCACATCACTAAAGGATTGATCAACGTTAGAAGCCTTATTCCTCATTCTTTTTTCTCTGCTTTCGAAAATGCTCAAGCTTATACTCCAGTGCGGAGTGGCACGAGCCGCAATCAACCACCAACTGATTCACAACGTTCAATGATCTCAATGAAGCCACAGAAGAAGATTTTAAGGAATTGAAAGCAAAAGTTATGGCTAAGGCTGCAGAAGGTCCAAACATTCTAAGCGCTGTTTGATAGTCAAAGTGCAGTCCGTATATTATTCGAGCTGCAAATTATGACTTGTTGAGCTTGAGAAAAATCTCTTTTTCGAAGTCAGGTCAAAAGTGAAGAACATCATCTACTTCGTGCTCAATTAGCCAGCCTTTGTGATTTTTTGCTGAAGAAATTCCAAAGAAGTATAGTTGCACAAGACCACCTTCGGATTTTCGTGGATAGTCGCTTTTTTGAGTTTTACTCATAGTTCAGAGGTCACCTTTTGTTTCACTGCTTCATTTTTCTGCCAGTCCGTCGTCACATCCACTGTATGAGCTCCAGATTTTCCTACGATCAATTTATCTTCTCGTATGCATCAGCCATGAAGGTGTTCGAACAATCGCTGTGTGTGGATTGGTTGCTGCTTGAAGTCGTTAGTCCTATTATAAATGTCGCTGAAAAATGGTCGACCTGTTCTCCTTGGGGTTTTGTGATGGTCAGGCTAGAGTATTCCCAGCTGACAGGCAGATACCGACTTTCTCCAGACATGGTGAGCTCCAGGAGACGTTGAAAGAGCACCGTACTTTACGAGCGACATTAATACTACTGCGCTATCTGCTCGCTTTCTTGCTCATTAATGCTTCTAAAATTCTAGTGTCAATAGAATATATTCTCACGAGGCTTATTTCCTTAACATCATAGTTTTTGAAAGTCTTCCTGCTGATGAGGTACCACCAGTTTGCATATGTTCGATTCCATGCATGCTTGTCAAAATTTAACCTTTCACGAATTGAGGGTCTCACACAGTAATTCTTCGTTTATTGGCTCCATAAAAACTGTGCTGGGGATCGCTTTGTCCAGTTTTAGAACTTTCTCATATCTTTTGTTTATTTACAAGTAATTCAACGAGCGCATTGTTGCGCAATGTCATGCTATGTGTGGTTTATGAGTGCTTCTGGTTATGTAGCTGTGCCACCCTAACCTCCATTGCCCTGTCCACTAATCCCTACTTCACCATTGTTTATTGCAAATTGTAGTCAGTTCAGCTTTCTTTGTTTATTCTGAAGTACCTAGATAACGCGCAGCTACTGGGCTAGTCTCCAACAGCGATTCCTCAGAATTGATTCAAGAGGTGCGAAATGTGTTTAGGTGTGAAACATGTGAACTAGACTTCTAAGAATGCAAATTTAGTTTATCTGATTGTTGTTTCGAAAACGGATTAGTTTTGATGTAAATTCATTTTTAGTATGCAGGTTCTTATGCCATGCGTCTACACATAATATGTTGTCACTGATGCTTTTTACATTCATCTTCTTCCGTACTATCATCGAGAGCTGTTTATCAAGCGAATTGTGGTCTTTCGTTATGGAGATACTGAAAGCCAATCGAAAGCACCTCTTCCAGAAATCCTGAGATAGCGTTCTAGACTCTCCTCATCTTGATAATATATAGCGAATATATTACATCTAATTATTTGAAAAACACTCAGTAATCGGTCTGTGAGCATTTATGCACCGCCTCTTGTCTTTAATGCTGACTAGTTCTATGGGAATTCAGGAATCTGTAATAGTTTGAGTAAGATCCACCTATCAGTAGCGAATAGTATTTGTAGCAACAATCATAACATCAATATCTGTGACACTCATCTAGTAGTCTCTATAGTTTGTGCATCAAAACGTTCATACCTAAGTCTTGTTCACTAAATAGCTAGTTTATTCACTAAATAATAAGAATGGTGTCAAATTATATTTATTTATAGATTATTATTATTATTAAATTACTATTAATTATAGATTATCAAATTATCATTGACTGTTATCATTCATATTGAAAAAAATTACGATTATGAATCACAATCAATTTATATCCTAATTATTCAGTAAATTACTCACTAAATTATAAGAGTGGTGTCAAAAATGAGCGTCGGTAGTACAACGGTTCAGCGCACGCTCCCGGAAAGAGTGAAATCTGGGTTTGAGTCCCAGTTGACGATAATGTTTTCGCACACCACTCTACATTATTGGGTTTATTGTAACATCATACCATCGCAATAGGCGGTCAAATAAAATGAATCCTGATTCACTAAATAGCCTTATAACAAGTTCAAGCTTAGCCATTGTCCAGAACCGTTATTTTGCGCTTTCAGAGGGAGTTTTGCACTGTTTTCGATAATCACTCAAAGCCTAGCTCTAAAGTCTACCTGAATAGATGAGTGAGATACTTTCAAACCGACAGTTCGCAAAACTACTTCTATTCGCTTCATTAATATTCACCAATGTAAAGTGAATGACAAATATGTCTGCTCATTTGTAGTTGCTGTCCCTAATAAGTGTCAGTAGTTATTAGTGTCCAAGTTATCATTACTTTTGTTACTTTATCGATTATTTTTTACATAAAATAAAAACCTTTTATTTGTTGTGTATCTACAATGCTGATTACAATGCTGATCACAAAATTCAGATGTCAAAAGCAGGATATTTCTGTCTGTGCTTTCTTTGTAGGTCAATACTTTGTCCAAGTGCTTCTTTTAGAGTTATGTGAGTTGATTGCATTAAGCTGGAATACAAGCCTTTGACATTTCTGTTCACGAATACTTTCTTTTGTGTTAGAATTGGCCTTTGTTTGTTGCAGTACGTTCCACAGCATTCAGAAGCAAGGCTAAAAGTAGATGTAGAACCTGGTAAAATTATAACACTGAAGTAAAGTGAGCGATCGGCAATATAGACACCATGCTAAATGCGAAGTTTTGGGCTTATGCAGGAGGACAAAGGTGACACCCGTTTACAGTTCTGTCTTTGATTGAATTACCAGTCTCGTTTGACTCTAAATAGGGTGAACTTGTTGAGCTCTGCCTCAAGGCACATATATCTGGAAAGGCGGACTTGATTAGTTATCGATGGCAATTCATCTCACAAATTAGATCTCTGTAAAAGCCCCGCATATGAGTCGACCACGTCTGGTCGCTACCCGTCATTTTCTGCACACTTTTAGTATTTTCTCCACACCGATCAGAGTTTTGGTTGATTTTTGTTTGAAAATCGAACTGAGTAGGCTATGGAAACAATACATAGGTCTCATAACTCTTCAGTATTACCAGCTTGCCAATTCAGCCGAAAGCGGGAGTCATAGGTGAAATGTCTATCCTATAGACTGCAGAACATGATCTTGATGATGCTACTGGAGATGAACAAGATGGTCTACACCAACCAATTTATAGTGCAACTCAAAAATTTCGTAGCCGCCACTGTCCACAGCAACCGTCACTAACATGCTTTTATCCGTTTTTGTTTTGCACGATATGGTTCAGTTTCTCGACACAAAATTGATTTGCAATGGACTGTAAGTGTTAACGAAGTGTACAGCTCGGTCATTGAGCTTACAAGTGGCCACTTAATGTGGGCACTGAAACATCAGCTGCGTTACACATACGTATTCAACGTATTAATACGAAGGAGATTACTTTGACCTTGTTTGGATGGTGTGCATTTTTCGACGGAAATAATAGAGTTATCTTACATTCCTGCCTCATACCAGAATGCTTAAAAGCAGTCGACCAATACACTGTTGCATTTTTACTTACTTCCATCAATCGTTGCATTACCTCGTCAGTACTGCCGGTTGTTCCGATTAACGGGTTAGGGATAAAACGCTCCGCGTTGATCAATTTCTTGGAGATATTCTATGTGATTGACTCCGTTTGTGGCATTGTAGAGCTGAATGATTGCATGTTTGCGCTTTCCGATTGCTTATGGTGGCTTAACAATTTATCAGTTTAACATTTCCATCTTTGCAAACATGTCTTTCAGGATTTTTCAGACCGAGGATATATGCAATAAAAAGTGTTTGTTCTATCCGAGGCATAATTGTATCAAAGTGGAGATTTAGAACAGATTGTTCATCTTGTGTGTGCGGTTACTCAATCGGAAGGGATCAGTCCAGAAATCCAGCTTTGAGTAAATGTATAACAAGAATTGTCGCCATCTTAAAAGAAATGTGGTCGCACGGCGGCAAGCGTCCGTTCAATCCTATAAAGGTCGGCCGGCGTCTGTCTGTGATGGCGACCTGAGAGCTCCCTGATGTCGCTGTCTCGGGACCTCATAGAGGAAGACTAGCTGAAGCAAGAAAGTATCAGTCAAATAGAGTTTTGCTGGACTATGTAGTGGTAGTGGGAGGGGCTACACAATCATCCGAATAAGCATGTTTTTCACTGACTTTTCGTAGCACTTACACTGTTTTTTTCGAACACAAGGAAATCTGCGACTTTCTTAATGTACGACCCAATGATTGAATTGAGTAATTCACCTGTTGAAATATTGAATAGATTCCTATCAGCACGGCAAGTCAGGCGCGATTTCAACACAACGTGTTTTTTTAGAAAATTGAGATCAAGAGAAGAAAAGCAACATCCAACATGTAGAAACTTCACAAAAACCAATAAAGTAATGTGCTATATTCTATGGGTGGGAAGAACTGTAGTAATCTTGTGCATATGGTGTATAGACGGGTGGTTGAAAATAGGCCGATGAATGAACTGTAGATGATGATAATGTTAGAGGCTGGGACCGTGATGGTGAATTAGGTCGAAGAGCAACTGTGACGTATGGTGGCTGAGCTGGCGAATTCGGCTTGAGGACATCATGGAATGACGACGAAGAGGTTGTACGAACATCTCTGATACCCTCTTCTGAACGAGCGCGGTCCGTATAGCTGTTCCGAATCTGAAGTTGTTGAGATTATTTCCATTAAAAAATTAATCGGATATCATGAAGTTTAGCGACAGACGAGAAGCAACTGAGCATATTACTACCAAATCAGTGATTATCTAGTGAAAATAAAATCGTGGTACTCACAACTAGTGGGAGCACAACTATGAGTACTAAGATGGTTATTATTTCTACAAACCATCAAATGATATAATTGTATTGAAATTTCCCAAATGATGCAGTTGAAAAAATGTAAATAGTTTGAAGTAGGTGGTCACAGTTAGCAATTTATTGACTCTAAGCAATGACTTAATCATCCCGCCAATCATTGAGCAAACCGTCTCATAAACAGAACTAGTATTTGTTCATTCCCATCACCTGTCACAACTATTTAAGAGGAGTAGTTCGTGAGATCAAACGGTTTAAAAAGGTCAAACATTTTACGTATGTGATTCTTCAATTTCACTATTACTGGTAGGTCGTTAACTACAAGCAGGTCACTAAGCCTTCTGAGGTAGCAATTACTCTCACTTGGGTCTTTAGTTGGAAATGATAAGCTTCTGTGATTGAGTGAATCCCAGGCTGGACTGTCTTCGAACTGCAAATCGAATTTGTTCTCTCAAGAATGACCTGACTCTATATGAGGCCAATATCTAATTTTGAAGAAGCTGATAGATCTTTCCTGCAAATTTCTGATCTAACCAGTCTTTTTGATCATTTCTGTACGAGTAAAGAGCGCTGTTCGGTTAGTTTGCACAGATAAAGACCATGTAATTTCTTAAATTCAAAATGTTACAAAACCAACTCAGTCAGTTGCGCATTAGTACTTCCAATATCTAAGATTCCTTTGAAGCTTTCTGCTTCATGTTAAATTCCAAAGTTCAATTATATTTTATAATTTATACAGGTAGGAAATAATAACCATCACCTGTATTTCTTGCATAGCAACAGCAGCAAAATCCTCAATACACAAAGGCCGAGGAGAACTCATATAATCCGACATGATCTGTAATTAGAAATAGTTGATAATTCTCAAGTCCCTGAAGATTATCTCCTATCCAAGTAATAAGTATTGATTTCTTCACATGATGGTCTGATAGTCATAATGACATCAAAAGGATTGCGAAGAATTCCAGCACTGAACGTCACAGCCATCGACCTCCTCAAATTGTCCCCATGGTGACTTTACACTCTATATTTACACTCTATATTTACTAACAGGAGAGGGGATCCGACAGAAAATGATGTCCATTTCTGAAGTGGTGAAGAATAAAGAATGAGCTCCTACGTTTAACGCTGGGCAATCCGTGTGCCAGAGATGTGCGATGCCTTCCATTTCACTTGTACCATCGTAAAGGTGGCTAAATCCATCTCTGGCCTACCAATGACTTACGGTGGCCTATCGATATATCGAAATAATGTTTTTATCCTGAAAGTAAGCGCATGTGGCGTGGTGGTTAGAGGTGCTCTGCGTGGTTCTATGACGCGCTCATGGACTCACCAAGCCATCCATCCCTTCGGGTTCGGTAAATTGGTACCAGACTGGGGAGGATGAGCAGCACTAACTCGGTACAGAGGGAGGCCATCGTGAGTCATTGTAAAGGCCAGATATGCATTAAATCACCTCAAACGAAGCTAATAATTGAAGACGAATGCGTGGCACAGGATTGAACAGCGCCTAAAGCTTTATCCTTTTATCCTCTAAGTATGGTACAAGTATCTTTAAAAAATGAGGGGTTGTTGAGCGCTGGGCGCGGAGTCAATCATGTAACGAAGGTACTTGGTAAAAATAAGATACCTTGCACAAAGTTGGTGAAATCTTCGAAAGATTATTCATGACTATAACTAATCATTGATTTGTACGTAGTTGTTATTTTTAGACTCTGTTCCACACTGTCAAGTTGGCTAACATCAACTGCTATCGTTTTCTCAACAATGGTGAGTTTTCAAATGCTTGCAGAAGCGAACAGTAAACAATGTTACCTGTTTGTTGCCGTTCAAGATTGTGTTCAAATGTTCGATGTATTTCAACGCTAAGCGTAAGGTTTTGATTTTTGGCAGTCGTGTTGACGTTGGCACATGTGGTAAGTTGCCTGGAAATCGAGCAACAGTAAGTTGAATTAATGTAGCCATCTATGTCTAGAGATTATCTGTTACGGGTTTTCAAGTATTTCTATTGTAAATAACTTTGTTTTTGCTTAAATACTTGCGTTGTTGTCGCAATCATGTTGTAACAGCTTCAGATTCATACATCAGTAAATGAATTCCATTTGTCTCGAGAATCACCACA